CAGCTCCAGGCCTTTAAGGAAAAAAAACAACCAAGAAACACCCCAAACTCACTGTTCCTGCAGGGGCCTTGAGGCTTCAGGGGGCTCGTGCAGAGCCCCTATGCAGTGCAGGGCAGCGGGGAATTGCCCTCCACCAGCAGGAGTGGTGAGTCCAGGGGTTTTCTCAGTTTTTTTTTCTTAAAGGGCCTGGCAGCACCCAGTGAGTGGGGGCTTTTTTTTCCCCAAGTGCCAGGAGCTGGGGCAGGCAGGGCAGCCATTGCCGGGCTGGGAGAGTAGGGGGGATAGGCCTGGGTAATTCGGAGATTCGGCAGCAGCCAAATCTCCAAATCAGATTCGGCCAAATCAATTCAGGACAGTGATTCGAATCACCAAATCAAATTGCTGTCCCCTGAATCAGCCAAATCCGAAGCGAATACTAGCCACTTGGCACAGACCTAGTCTCCAGGTCCCTACACTACTTCTTACTTTAATCCCAGCAGTAAGCACCTTCCTCTAGCTCCACGCAGGTCAGACTGCTGTTTTTGCCTCTTGTGCAAGGCTTAAATATCTCCTGGCTCCACCTCCTTCTGAACTGAGGGCACGTCAGAAGGCCATTACCTAATGAGCTGCCACCTGCTGGTTATCTGGGGCTCTGGAGCTTTCTAACTACTGCCTCACTCAGGGGTGGGTGAAATAAAGCCCGTGGACCAGATCTGGCCTGCGGCGAGTCCCTCAGTCCCCTGGCCCAGGTACAGTCCAGCTGTGGCATGTCCTGCTGCCCCCCAGACACACAGCAGGGCTGGGGGTGCTCTGTAGCTGGATTTCCTTTCTAGGCAGCCCAGGTGGCGGTGGCTTCTTCTGGCTGCTGCTGCTGCTGCTGCTAACCCCAGCCCTGTAGTACCGGTGGGGACCCGCGCGGCACAACCTTGACCCCGTGTGCCCCACGCCTGCTCCGGGTTCACCTGCCTGGGCTTAGCAGCAGCAGCATGGGACAAAAGCTGTTGCTCAGTGCAGGGGAGAAAGCAGTCACTCCCCGTCCTGCTGCCGGCAGTTCCCTGCTGCAGCGGCCCAGGGCCCGTGCTGGGCTGCCCTGTGTCTGTTCTGCACTGCCACCACTGCCCTGCTGGGCAGCCTGGAGGTGGCAGTGATGGCAATGGAGATACCGGAGTAATTTTCTAGGGCTGCGCACTGCTGGCAGTGGTGGGGAGGCGCCACAGGGCACGTAAGCTCTGGGCTGTTGCAGGGCGGAGGCTGACCAGCTCAGGGGGGCACATGTGGGCGTCCCATGCACACCCCACCATACCTACAATCCCCACAACCACACCCTCCCCCGCACACAATCACACACCCCACAAACTCCACACCCTCCCCCAAACACACCTCCCACACACACACACACCTGCATGCCTCTGGGGGGGAAGCCCCGCTCACTGCTATGCGCACACACACCCCACCCCCACACACACTCCCCCAGCCACCCTCTCTCTCCACACACCCCACAAACCCCCATACCCACCTACACACCCACCCACACATCCCTACAAACCCCCCATACCCACCCACCCACATCCACACACACCCCCAAGCCACATACACATACACACACAAACCCCATACCCACCCCTCTGTACCCCCCACCCCTCCACACTCCCCTACAATATATAAGAATAAGACTTCATTTTGAGCTATTATGCAGTCACCTCTACGTCTACCACACAAACCAGGACAAAAATATTTTTAAAAATAAAATTAAAATGTTATTGTCAATGTTTGCTTTTTAGTATATAACGTGTTTTTTTTTCTGATTCTAAGATGGCAAACCCCCCTCCCAAAAGGAGAACTTCTGGGGACAAGGGGAAGGACTTCCGGTGGCAAAGATCAGGGGTTAGGAGGCGGGACTTCCAGGACCCAAGATGGTGACCAGGGGGCGGGACTTCTGTCAAGGGGCGGGACTGCCCTTGTGGTCCTTGACAGCTATTCTCAGTAACAGGGCTTGGTCCCTGTTACACAAAGTCCTAGAGCGTAGCAGTATTTAAAACACATCCATCTCTGCAGTATTTTGTGCCGGTTAGTTTAGGCAGCTCCTCAGTCAGTAGCTTGCTTTGGTGAATCCCATTCTGAGGTGCCTGAGCCACTGTAGGAGGAGACCAATTTGGACATTATTATTCCACTAAGTAATTAAATGCCTAAAGCTCAGACATCACTACACTGAATGCTTAACATCCACATGGATCCCTGTTGTGGATCTAACTTCCCCCCCTTGCATCCAGGATCCCCACCTGTAAAATAAC